GTGTCAACACTTTAAGTAGTCGAAACGTTTAACTAAAGGACTTTATTTATATTAGTATTTCAGTATTTCATTATTTTAGATATTCCTAAAGGCCTTAATGCTTCAAGTTTTATTTGTTAATTTTTTCTCAGATATGTATTTTATTTTTAAATAATAATAAAATTATAAATATGAAACTATTTCATAGTTTCATATATATGAAACTATTTTTATTTTTAAATAATAATAAAATTATAAATATGAAACTATTTCATAGACATTAAAATATATTAACGTATTTTTATAGAAGCCTACTCACAAATTTTAAATATAATTGGATTTCTTACCAAATACTTCACTGAATCTTTTTTTGTAATTTTATATTTATTATTATTTATTCAATATTATTCATTCATAATAAATTTATATATTTATATATAATTATAAATATTTAAAAATTTATACGAGTTTATTTAAGCAAAACTTTCATTTTCTATTTATTTTTGTATGCTTCTTAATTATTGTTCTTACACAATAATGAACTTAAATAAATATTTGGGTATATAATGGCATCAAAAGTAGACTAAACAAATAGAATTCCAGAAAGTAATTGAAACTGTAAGCTTCTGGTATACATAGCAAAACTATAAAGCAGCGAAAATATCTGCAATTTCATAATCAGCCAATATACATATCTTTATAAAGCAATAAGATATCTTTAAACTGACAACTGTTGATATTTTTATATATGTATGTATTAGTACTCGTAGATCGTGAAACTTAGTTTTGTGAACATATCAGAGTGAAGTCTGTTTCCATCGCATCGCTGCAATTCGCCTCAGACATGTCTAAATACCTGCATACGGTAAGAACACGTATATAAATATATAAGAAATAAAACAAGCCTCACGATGCTGCGCTGCATACGTATTCATATAAAACGAAACGCTCTTAAGGAAATGCTATAGTCCAGTCGACTTCCTATCTACCCACGTACTTTTGTAACTCTTGTGATATTCATTGAAAACTACGAACCGCAACACCTGACAGAACAAAAGAGAAATAATACAATTATAAACAACAATGACAGTAAATAATGGGAAAGACCGCGACACCACCTGTGTAAAGGTATACAGATATCTACAGAGTTTGTCGGCGAATATATAAATATGTATGTGTGTGTGTGTTTATTTGCATTACACTCAACCAAAATTATTTACTTAGGTAGAGCTGATGCAGATCCAACAGAACTGTTGTCGTATTTGACATTAGTTGTGTTCCATAGTTAATTACAAACACATTTTTCTATGCATTTCCATTTTTTATTTCCCATTTCCATTGATGGTGCATTGAACTAGAGCAGGTGGTGCTTGCACCACTATTTGACCCACTTTGCAGCTGAATGCATTTACCAGAATGCACTTCTAGGCAATTACAAATCAATTGAAGATGTCAGCGTCTTTAAGTATTGTCTAGACCTCGCTATCTTCTCTCTCACTCACTCTCTCTTTCTCTCTCTCTCTCTCTCTCTCTCTCTCTCTCGCACTAGTTTATTGACTGCTCTTCAAGCTTGTTTTTTGTTGCTCCGGCGGCTGCTGATGCTGCTGACACGCTTTTTTCTCGAGGCATTTTATTTTCTTTGTATTTTTGGCAACAACAATAACAAATCTCTGGCACAAGTTCTCGCTTTGCCTTGTTTATAAACAAAAACAAAAAAGTTTAAAACAAAAATAAAATATTTTCAACTCGCTTGCCTTGAATCGCATCGAATTGAAGTTCAAATGCGGCAAAATGTTTAATTATAATTTCAGCTGCGGTTTTTTTTTATGTTATGCGGGTTTTTCTGCCTTTTTGTTATGCATTAGTTAATGCATTTCTTCACCCTTTTTTTTTTTGCAAATGAAAATAAATAAAATAATGACATTTATTGCTATTTGTTTGTACAACAAATTAACTTTAAGCAAAATAAATTGAATTCTATTTTCTTGATTTTTTTTATTGATAATCTAACTAGCTAAAATACTTTGTACAAACAAAGCAAAAAATGCTGTTGTTTTATTAGGCTATTTTCATTAGCGATTAAAGCAACATTTTTTAATAAATACATTTTGTTTCATAATAAAAACCGTATTTAATTATTACTGAATATATACTCAAATTATATATAAATTTAAGTTATATTTTCCAAAAATAATTATTCATATCATAATGCATGCAATATCTTATATTTCTTCGCCTTTTCTACAGGGTATACTTCGCAAACATATTTTTTTTCTCAATTTTTCTCTTTTTCACAAAGCTTTATTCAAAAATATCCCAGCTGACAGCGGGTCAAGCCCAAAGACAAACCTCAAATTGCAAATGCAGAATAACAAAAACACGAACAAGCCCCGTAAGACATAAGATAAGCAACAATAACAACAACCAAACGTGGCCAAGCCACATAACTGTGCCAAGGCCCGGCAAAAACAGCAACAACAATACCAACAACAACGAACCATTTTTGGGCAGCGCAGTATGCAAAGTGCACAGCAAAGCAGAACCGTTAGATCGCCCTCGTGTGCAAAAGAGATGCAAATAGAGAAGTGCACAGCTCAGTGGAAGGGGCAAAAAGAGAGAGAGAGACAGAGGGAGGCGGCTGTAATTTTAGAGCGCCAGCTACAACGTTAATAGGGGCCAAATGGACTTGAGGCAACATGAAAAAACTATCAAATTACAATGCGAATGAAGAAGAGGAAGCAGACAAAAAATGTGATGCAATGGTAACGCAGAAGCGCAGCTGGCTCACTGCCACTGCCGCTGCGGCTGCTGCATCTCTGAGTGGATCTCGCATTACCGAAATGCGGCCTCAAGTGTCGCCAAGCCGTGTCCTACGCCTGCTCGTTTCCTGTTCCATGCCGCTGGGCAGGTGGTCACAACAACTACTACAAACTCTCGCCAGCAGGCGGAAGTACTTGTACTTGGTCTTCGTGCTGCTGCTGCCTTACTCTCAATTCGTACCCTCTATCGGTCTCCCCACCCTCTGCTGCGGCAGTTGCGCTGCACTCACAGTAAATTAATTTTGAGCGAATCAAGCTACTGAATCAAACTACTGAAGATACTCTGTAATTAAATTTATAATTATTGTTTATATTTATTTACTTATTTCTTTCTTTTTTTATTTGTATTAATTTAATTTTTATTTAATTTAATTTTAATTTTATTTTATTTATTATTTTATTTTATTATTATTTTATTTATTTATTTATTATTATTTTTTTTTTTTGGCATTTGAAGTTTTATTTATTGTATTATTAATATTTTTATTTTTTAATTTTGATATAGAGATATATGTATGCGTGACAGCTTTATTCGCATTTTACACATGATTTTTGCTTTGCTTATATTTTACTTAAATTTTTATTTTATTTTTTGTGGTATGCATTTTACGCACTAAACTAATCAAAGCCGCTGCGTTTATTTAAAACAGGGTATTCATAATAACTTCCTCAACAGCAAAGACAGAAAAAGCCAAAGTGCCAAGCCAAGACATAAGAAAACAATAAACCGTGCAAAAAGCGTCGATGTCGACGTCGACGCCGACGTTAGCGCCGGCGATAGCACCAACTGGCACAACATGGCTAAGCCAACAATAATAACAACTACCAACTGCAATCAAATAGCAACTAAAACTAAAAAAAGAAGGCAAATGCGAATTTCGCATTTGTGCAAATGTTACAACTAATTTGTAGACAACAGAAACTAAAACTAATACAAGTCATTTGACTAATTGCGTGTACAAAAAATGAAGGCAAATACTGAAAACGACTGCGCAATACTCTGCTTATAGCGTAAGAGTTCACAAATAAAAACTGAGATCTAGTGCAGCTAAGACCGTAACTACAATAACAGTGAAAGTAACATAATATAATTTAAGAGTAAATAATATAAATTTAAGTATTTTGCGTAGCGCCAATATGCTCCTCTTCTACTACACATAGTGTGTGCAAATAACAGTAAAAATAGATGCTCAGAGAAGCAATGCCACCACAACCGCTTACAGTTTGAGAATCAATAACAGTAACAGCATTGCGTGTAAAGCAAAGTCAAAACGAAAAATGATAAATTATTAGCTTGTTTAATGGCATTTAGAAATGTGTAATTAATTCGTATTTCTTATAATAAATTTATTTATTTATACATAGAATTACTAGTGTCTTTGTATTTAGCTGCGGTTTGTGTGGTTTGACAACAAACAACTCTCCAACTTTTTAACTCTGACTAACGAGATCTACCGCTAATAAGCGCCTAAATAGAACAACCAACAAACAGCTGCTGTCCCAAATTATGTAAAACAGTAAACGCACCTGTTAAAACTGTTGTGCAAAATATTTGTTTAGTTATTTTCTTCTATGTGCGTACAACACAAAAACCACCGTTAGATGTAGCGCAAAATGAAATGTAGTTTTTGAAGCATGCACTTCACACGCATACAAGGAGACAACGAAGAAGCAACAGTTAGATTTCTTGTATTTGTTGCGTACCTCTCTTTGATCTGCTGTTTCTCTTACTGCTGCTGACGATGCGTTCGACGGACTTCTGTAGAACAGGTAGTTGAACTATTTTGTTTTTGCTTATTTTTTAATAATTAGTACGTTTTATTTGACGCAGCTTAGTTTTGGTGTGATTGTATTTGTTGCACTTTCACTTGGCGCGCGGTTCGGCCTGATATAAATCACTTTGCGGCTTTTTTATATGAATACAAGTTAGCACTTGGGTTTTGTATTTCTACGCGTGCGTAACGTTGGCAACGCATTTGCATAGCCTTTGGTATGTGATTTTCGTTACTTCGTACGTACAAACAGACAAAATATATGTAATTACGCACACAGACACATCAAACACCAAACACAGGTAACACAGGTTGAGGCAGACTATGTATGCGGAACGACGTTGTATTGCGAGCGCGCGCACAACCGAACCGCACGAACTATGAAGGAAAAATACTAAAGAATTTGAACAGAGTGACCGCATTTGAGAAGTACCGAAATACCATGACTATCGGCACTGCCGATAGCACTGTTTATTAACATTCATAATAACATGAGCAATGCTACCCATTTCGAGGCGCGCTGTTCCAAAATCAGATATGTAAATCATTTTCCATAAATAGATCACAATGTATTACAAGCGATTTTTGGATTATCAGACTATACTAAAAACAATTGCAATTATACACCCCTCTACTCTAATTAATTTTCTCCACCAAAGTCTCTGTTGTTGCTGTATCATCTTCTTCCTCTTCATGTTCTTCGACATTTGATTCAACCTCTTCCTCAGTGGAAGCACTCGTGGTCTTCGTCGCAGGGCTTGCACCACCCGTGCTATTCGTATTGGTCTCAGCCTTAGTGTTGGACTTGCTCGTGGCATTGCTAGTGTCACTGCTGCTGCTGCTGCTGCTGCTGCTACTGCTACTGCTGCTGCTGCTTGCAATGCTTGCAGGAGGCGAACTGCACGCAGCTGCCGTCGTTGGATTGTTGCGATTATTGAGGGTCTTGGCTGCCACATTGACGACATTCGGATTTACGCTGTTGAAGGAGGTGGACGCTGCTTTATAGAACGCACTGTTGGCCAGACTACTGATCGTCTCCTGCTGCTTGAACACCGCATTCACCTGACTCGTCACCGAAGCCAAGGCACTGGGATTCGAATTGCCATACTTCAGGGCGGACATGTTATTGACAGAGCCCAAAGCGTTGGGCGCCACAAAGCCAAAAGTATTGCGACGACCACCACGCTGATCGGCCCGAGCAGGAATGGCGGAGTTAAGGCTTACATTGGCATCGCGAAACCCAATTTTTGGCATATTGTAATTGTCCAGCTTAAAGGTGTGCCGCGACGGCGAACGATTGAAGGATTTCTCCACACGCATCGTCTGGATGGGCACAACCGTATGGCGAGATTTCCGCAGTCCCTGTTTGCCACCCATTTCTCCGGTGATCGCATCGCCAGCATCTCCACCCACTACAGTGGATCCACTACTATAGCCCGTCTCGGATCGCTGGCTATCCGGACGAAGGACGCCCTTAACCAGACGCTGACTGGCCGTTATTCTTGAGTGATCCGGCAGTGGTGGCGCCACCAATACACTGGCCGGACTTACGCCCGAGGTGCCCAATCCCAGACGCTGCCGCACTTCCGCCATGGTTGCCTGCGCCATTTTACGTGCCTTCTCCGAGCCCATTTCCAGCACATAAATGAGTTCATTGCGATTATTCAAATGCTTATGTATCATTTCTCGAATGGGGCGCAGATGTTCAATGACTGCTTCCGAAACACGCTCCTTATACTGCGCTGTGTCCAACTGTTTGGCCTCCTCCACCACGGTGTCAATGCTCTGGCCTGTGACTTGGGCATGGATGTTCACAAGATTGCTAACACCTGGCCGCATGCCCGGATCGTACGAGATGTCCGAGGTGAAATCTGTGAGGGCCTTTTTAATCTTCTCGATAATTTGCTCGGGTGAGTCGTTCAAATTGATGGTGCCTTTCGGATTTTGATCCGATTTGGACATCTTCTTCGACGGCTCTCGCAAGGAAAGTATCCGTGAGCCATCGTTTTCCTCTATAACGGCATTGCATACCGGAAACATGTCGCCATACCGTGCATTGAAAGCGCGCGCCAGGTGCTGTGCCAATTGAATATGTTGCAATTGATCCGATCCAACCGGCACATGAGTGGCTCTATAGAGATAAAAAAGATGAAGAATTAGTTAAGGCATTAGGTGATAGACTGGACTTACTTATATAGCATAATGTCGGCCGCCTGGAGTACCGGATAGACAAACAAGCCCAGGGGTACATCGCGTACGGTTCGCGATTTCTCCTTGAATTGGGGCAGCTGAGCTAATCGCGGCATCGTGGTCAAGGAATTCAGTATCCAATTTAATTCGCTGTGCTCCATTACCGACGACTGGACGAACAATGTTGTGTGGGAGGGATCGATGCCGCAGGCGAGCAGCGTGGCAGCCATCGTGAAAATATTTTCACGCAATGTTGGTGGATTATGCGGCATTGTTATTGAGTGCATGTCCACAATGCTAATGGTAATATTTTCGCGTTTCTTCTGCAATTCCGTCCACTTCCTCACTGCGCCCAAATAGTTGCCCAAATGCATTGCTCCTGTTGGCTGAATGCCACTAAAGATTTTCCTTGGCCAGCGATGGGAACTCTGTGAAAGTGGAGTGAGGTCGGTTAAAGCACTTCTATTACATCACAACAAAAATCAACACACGGTCGTTGTCTGGGTTGTTTCCTGATCGTTGGATTGCGTCTTTTTTTGCTTGCCAGATAAATTGAATTGTGCTTGTTGGGTTGCGGACATACGTTCTCTGGTTGTATTCTCCCATGAATTCACTTGACTGGCATTTAATAACCTTTTGGCGAGAGACATTCGACGCTTCAGTTTCGAGACATGCATGGTGCGAGGTACGCATAATTTACAAACGCGAAACATTGCAACTGTTATTAATTTTGTTCTTTTGAGTTCGTTTGATTAAACTATAGAAAATTGGAAAACGAATTATTTGGCAATGTATAAAAGGAATCTGTAACCTAATTTTGACAACTCGTTCAAAATATTATATGATTAGTGTGACCATTGCTACTTTTAAATGTCCAAATTGAAAGATATCGGAGATATTGATTGCGCATATCGGTTAGTTACTATCGATGAGACAGTTCAATTTGAGATGTAAGCTAATTATTCACGTTTAAATTTAGCTGCCAAAATCCGAATGTTTATCTTATCGTCTATAATATAAGCGTTGAGTACATACAGTTAAAGCTATTCCGACTCAATTTTAACTGTCATGTCGGTGTTAATAACAAAAATACAATGAATTTTTGAGATATTAATTGATCGATATTAGATAATTTGAAATATTGGTTTGATATATTGCTCAGCTGTTTTAAAACTAATATCGATTAACACTATCGATAGTACTTAACACATAGCGCGGGTTTCAAAAGAATTTTATTTTAAACATACATTGTTAACTACATCGCATTGCAATTGGCAATATATATTGATCGGACATGTTTCGTTACAGTTGCACATTGAGAATTTCATATAAGTGGAGCTATTAGCATTTCCAATTTCAAATCAGTACACTAAAATGGGATTCTCATTAAAAGTTGATGGGTTTTCCAAAAGCTGCCGCAACATTTGCTTCGCGTAAAGCCTCAGCGCAAGTCTGCAAAAAAAAAAACAACAAATTTCAATTACAATACACTTCTTGCAGCAAGGACAATCTATATTAGCTTACCGGATGTGCGTGACAGACACGGGCAATATCTTCCGCGGAAGCGCCATACTCCATGGCCAGTACGGCCTCATTGATCAGCTCGCCGGCACCCGGGCCAATGATGTGGGTACCCAGAACGCGGTCCGTTGCCTTATCGGCGAGCACCTTGACGAAGCCATCGGTCTCATTGTTTGTCTTCGCACGCGAATTCGCCAGGAAGGGGAACTTGCCAATTTTATAGGCGACACCCTCCTGCTTGAGCGCCTCCTCAGATTTGCCCACCCACGCCACCTCGGGATGTGTGTACACCACGCTGGGTACGCAGTTGTAATCAATGTGCACTGGTCCACCCTGAATGCCCTCGATGGTGATCAGGCCCTCGTCCTCGGCCTTGTGGGCCAACATTGGGCCGTGAATGCAATCTCCGATAGCGTAAATGTTCGGCACCACAGTCTGGAACTTGGCATTGACGGGAATGCGACCACGATCGTCCTTCACAATACCTACAGCCTCCAGTCCAAGCCCCTCAGTATAGGGCCGGCGTCCTACACACACCAACAATGTGTCGCACTCGATCTGCTCCTTTTCGCCCGATTTGGCGTTCTCCACGGACACGCTAACCGTGTTGCCGCTGCGCGTGGCGCCCATTACTTTGGTACCAAGCTTAAATTTGAGTCCCTGCTTGACGAGCACTTTCTGGAAGGTCTTGGACACCTCGTTATCGATGCCAACACCACCGATGGTATCCATGAACTCAATGGCAGTAACCTCAGCGCCCAAACGCGACCAAACAGAGCCCAGCTCCAGACCAATCACACCAGCGCCAATGACAACCATACGCTTGGGCACCTGGGCCAGCTTCAATGCGCCCGTGCTGCTCACAATGACCTCCTCATCGATCTGCAGAACACAAATATCTATATCCATAATCGAATGGTTGAGATTAGAACATACTTACAGTAATGCCAGGGAAGGGAGTAACCTCCGAACCGGTGGCGATCAATATGTTCTTGGTCTTAACGGTGTCCGTTGTGCCGTCGCTCTTGGCCACCTTCACTTCATTGGGGCCGACAATGCTGCCAAAGCCCGTGAGTTGTGTAACTTTGTTCTTCTTGAAGAGCATTGCAATGCCTCCGGTTAAAGCTTTAACAGCATTCGTCTTCTGTCCCATCAGTTTCTCAAGATCAAGCGTGACGCTGCCGCAGTTGATGCCTCGATTGGCCAAGTCTCCGGAGTGCGCCATATGGTAATAGTGTGAATTGTTTAGCAAAGCCTTCGATGGAATGCAGCCAACATTCAGGCAGGTGCCACCGAGAGTGGGCTCCTTCTCCACGCTGACCGTCTTCATGCCCATCTGGGCCGCTTTGATGGCGGCAACATAGCCACCGGGTCCAGAGCCAATGACCACAATGTCCGCTTCATGTGTGGCCGAGTACCAGCGGGAATTAAATGCCCCCAAAATGGCTGCGTTAGTGCGCAGTGGCGTCTGCAATGAGGAACAGCGATTTAATAATTTCATAATGCTAATTGGCCACACTAGTCTCTAACTCATTTTATTTTTACGGTTTGTTGTGTTTACGCTAATCGCTGGCACTTAGCGCAAACACGCCTTTTGATAATCATTTGGCTTTATCACAACTGTGTCAGCTGATAATTGGTTAATATACGACCTTGACATTTGAGTACGCACAGTTTGCGACGTCACAATGATCGACTAATGCATTTAATGCGAAAGTTATGACCTATTTAGGTTAGAATTGCATAACCCAGTTGGACTAAGCTGGTGAAGTGGGTCTATATCTTTGTACCTTGGCCACAGCTGTCACAGTTCTGCGTAGTGTGGATTGCATTGCTGTACAATTTGTAAAATAGCTTTCTCTAAAACCGAAAAACAAAACTTTGACGTTCCTATCAAAGTTCTAACGAAAATTACACGGTACGCTACGCTAGAACACGGCAAACTGGTGATGGCGACTGGCGAATATATCGATAGTGGCCCCGTTTCGATACATTCACAGGCCACAATCAGGTTTCTGTCATCAGTGGGTGAATTTCTATTCAACAATGTGTCGCCTTTATTCAGTTGCTTGCTTGCTGGTCACACTCGTACGTGAACACAACAAGATGGCGAGAGTTTCGTCTGCAAATTGAATATAGAAAATCGTAATAAAACGTGCACAATAATTGATTAAATATACATTAAAGTGTCGGCGCGGCCGCAATAATAAGCTGAGCGTATATTGCTCGCTTTTTGTGTGTGCGGCAGCAACTCAAACCGATTGCAAAATTTTGCTACGCTGTCTGGCCTTGTTGTTGTTGCTGCTGGTGCAGCATTGTTGTTGCTATTGTTTTTGTGTGTGCCTAACTCTTTGACCGTATCCCAACCGCCCCGCCTCTGTTGAGTTGTTCAAAAATGTTGAACAACTACGGCAATATAATGATGGACTCACCCAGATCTTCACCGCATGGCGGTCGCTCCCCCGTGGTGGCGCGACAGGACTCATCAGGGACGCTTAAGACAACTATATCGTTGGGGAAGACGCCAACGATAATACACACGGGTCCATTCTACTCAATGAAGGAGCCACCAGCGAAAGCTGAACTAACTGGCGACAAAGACCTCATGACCGAATATGGACTGCATCATACGCTGACCAAATTCAAAGAGAAAAAATTTAAGGAGTCACTGGCATCCTTTCTACCCAACATACCCGGCATCAATGACCTCATCACGCATCCTGTGGAAAACAGCACGCTGCGCAGCGTCATCGAAAAGCCGCCCATCGGTGGCAAGGAACTCCTGCCCTTGACTCCTGTGCAGTTGGCCGGCTTCCGTTTGCATCCTGGCCCGGTAAGCAAACAGTTTATCATGACGTTTTTACTTACTAATACACTCTTGATTGGCATTGCAGCTGCCAGAACAGTACCGCACCACTTATGCCACACCTGCGCGTAAACACAAAAACAAGCACAAAAAGCACAAACACAAAGACGGAATAACTACTGGGGGACCAGAGTCAACGTTATTGGGTAAATATAAATCCCTCAAATTGGTTAATATGTATAACTGGTAACTAAAAGAATCCTTTTCAGATTCTGCTGGCTTGGAGACATACGAGAAGAAGCACAAAAAACAAAAACGCCACGAGGATGATAAGGAACGCAAGAAACGCAAAAAGGAGAAAAAGCGTAAAAAGAAAAACCAAAGTCCCGAACCAGGCGGAGCTCTAGGCATCGGAATGCCCAGTGGAGGCGGCGGCGGCGCAGCAGCATCTGGTATGGGTGGACCCGTCATGGGCGCCACGGCTATCATGTCCAATCCCATGAGTAGTAGTGGCGTGGGCATGGGCGTCGGTGTCGGAATGAATGCGGGCATGGGTGCCAACAGTTTTTCCTCATCTCTGCAAATGCAACAACAGCTGTCGATGCAACATCAACAGCAGCAGCAAATGCCCAGTGGGGCGTTAATGGGCTCTGTGATGAGTAGTGGTGGAAATGGGCCTGGAGGCAATGCTGGTAACGCAGGAGGCGGCCCAGGTAGCTTATTAATGTCACAGTTTTAGGTGAAATCCATTAGTTAATAGTCTTGGCTCATTACCTCTCTCTCTCTCGCACACACACACACACATCTATAGCCCATACACAAAACAAAAAGGTGTCCAGAGATGCACACTATAAATGCAATTTCTCGATAAACTTTCGTGTCTAGTTTTTAATTTATATAATTATGATTACTGTAAAATAGTTTATATTGTAATTAGCAAACTTTTTCGTTCGGTTTACATTGCCTAGCTTAATGAGATTTATTTAATGCAAATTATGGTACAAAATGCAAAATTTTTCGCTGTAGATTCCAGTACTACCCTTTCATCCCATGATAAATAACAACCGTTAACATTTTTAGATCGCTTGCAATTACATCTCGATCATCCAATTTCTTTTGCTTACAATTTGGTATAGCTGCAGTATTTTACTTTATTTGCAATGGTTTGATCTTCCAGCAAATTTGTAAAAAATAAAGAAATGGAGGATGAAAACTGAGATTCAACAAAACAAAAACCTGTACTATAAGTAATTAATTGTATGTGTAAGCGCCAAATACAATAATAAACGGCTTAAAAGTTTGAAACTGTAAGAAAAATCTGTATTTTGAATTGTTGGTAGCCAACAGTTGGCTGGGTTTGTTTAACAGCTGACTTAATAATCTAAAAAATACCAAAAGGTTACAGTAGTTTGGAACAGCTGTGCGTCGACAGCATGTCAGCTGACAAGTGATAGTGCTGCCACACTGTCGAAAACGCATCAACTCAATAGATATACATAAATAAATTATCAGTGGATGAAATTTTGTAATTAGTAGATAGCCTGCAGTAGTACGCGGGCATTGAAAGGTTCTAGTCCTGACACCGTCTATTTGGCTGATGAAACAAATCGAACGAAATGTATAAACAAACGTGCACCAACCTACTGAGCCTTTCACCTGTAGAGGTCAACAAATGGCTTGACAGCTTCGATTCCGTTATAACCGATTGCGATGGTGAGTGTGTCAAGTTATGAATGAAGGATTCTGAGTCAATTTGAATTGCGTAATATGGCACATACTTTTGAATGAAAAGCCTACTTCCTAAATAGAGTCAATCACGTCACTTTTTGTTGTAGTCGTATGTCAAAATTGACATGCATACGAATTATGTAGTTGTATGAGTGAGTGTGTGTGTGTGTGGCCGCGCAAAATTCAATGTCAAATTACAATGTCATGAGGGTGCGGCCAGTACGACTCTTTAAATCCCTTTTAATGTAGAACAGAGTTTTTAAATATTTTAAATCAACTTCCTACAAGGCAGAATTAAGTTTTAATTGCGATTGATTTTGATTTCAATTATGCAGGCGTTCTGTGGGTGTACGGAAACGTTATACCCGGCTCCCCAGAGACGATAAACTACTTAAAAGGAATGGGAAAGAGCATTTATTTTTGCACAAATAATTCGACAAAAACACGCAAAGAACTGCTCATGAAGGGCATTGATCTGGGGTTCAATATCACCGAAGAGGGCATCATAGCGACAGCCCATGCCGCGGCTAGTTACCTGAAGAATCGCAATTTCGACAAGCGCGTCTATCTTATTGGTTCCCCGGGAATCGCACAGGAATTGGATGCAGTTGGAATACAACACACAGGCGTTGGCCCTGATGTAATGAAAGCCCCACTGGGTGAATTCATGGCAAAGCATTTAACTATAGAACCGAATATTGGGGCCGTTGTCGTTGGTTTTGATGAGCATTTCAGCTTTCCCAAAATGACCAAAGCGGCATCCTATCTCAGCGACCCGAAGTGCTTGTTCATTGCAACGAATACAGATGAGCGTTTCCCTATGCCAGGAATGGTTGTTCCGGGCAGTGGGAGCTTTGTGAATGCTATTCGAACGTGTGCGGAGAGGGAACCCATTGTAATTGGAAAGCCTAATCCGGCCATTTGTCAGTCATTGATCCAGCAAAAAAAGATCATTCCGTCGCGAACTTTAATGATTGGTGACAGGGCCAACACGGATATTCTCTTGGGCTATAATTGTGGATTTCAAACACTTCTCGTCGGAACGGGCATTCATTCCTTGAATGATGTGGCTCAATGGAGGAATAGCAAAAACCCCGACGACAAAAAACTTATACCCGATGTGTACATACCGAAATTGGGAGATTTACTGCCAGCGATTCTCAATTCGATCACACACGGACGCTATTAATTTGTATATATGTATATGTTTGACATATTTTATTCAGTTTATGTATTCCTCTCAGGGACATAAGTAAATTTAATATTATTAATAGACATCACTTGATTTAAACAAAAGCATAGTAAAATTTACAATAAAATAACTACAAACCTGTTTGCAAACTGATTGCTGTTGTCAACATACCCATCCATCTTAATTTGTAGCGCAATCGTTTGAGTGAGGCAGCATAATATTAAAAATCACGATGATTCGCTGAGTTCGCGCTCAGTTAAGAAACAAACACACACCAAAGCAGGCAGCAGTGTCGACTCGTTCGCGACTATAGAATGTTCCGAGCTAACGCAATTAACTTGCTAGATCTCCAGCCTGAACAGGTGAACAGCTGGTTGCAAGGCTTTGATACAATTATCAGTGATTGCGACGGTAAGTCTTCAAGTGTGTACGTGTGTACGTGTGTGTTAGTGAGAGTGATAGAGTGAAAAGCAGAGAGACTTACAGCGCTGCCACCTAACTTTTAAGAAGTTATATATCGATATACATATGTATCGATGATCTGTTTTTGAGAGAGAGAGGGAGAGAGAACTTTACAGATTCTCTTTATCGATATCAATGCTTTGAATATACTTTATTACTTCGTAAATATTGTTTGCTAATTAAAATCAGGTACGCTGTGGCATGATGACAAGGCTATAGAAGGTGCCGCCGAAGTGTTGAATGCCTTGCAGAGCCGTGCCGGCAAACGCGTCTATTTAATAACAAATAATGGCCTAAAGACGCGCCATGAAATTTGGCAGCGAGCTCAACGTCTGGGCTTCCAGTTGCCCAATGAGTCGCATATCATCTCACCCACGCAAACAATCGTCGATTATCTGAAACAGCACATGACAAGCGACCAGCGGGTCTATGTGGTTGGAAATGCGGCTATTGAGCGAGCACTAACTGAAGCGGGCATTCAAAGTTCTGGCGCTGGCACACCAGAGCTGCTGCAGCCGAATGACAAGTGGCAGGACTTCGTAAATCGGGAGTTGAAGCAGCCAGCAGCGACTGACAATGTGGGCGCCGTCGTTGTTGGCTGGGATGAACATTTCAGCTACTGTAAAATGGCCCGCGCCTGTCACCTGCTGTGCAGTAACAAAGAGTGCGCCTTCCTCGTGACCAATAAGGATGCGGTGCACAAGTATCCGTCTGTTCATATACCCGGAACTGGCGCCTTTGTTGCTGCAATTGAGACGTGTTCGGCGCGCACGGCACTGGATATGGGCAAACCGAATCCCTTGGTGCTGGAGCCGTTGCTCAATGCAGCTGCCTTGCAGCCCGAACGTACACTAATGATAGGTGATTGGTAAGACAGAGAGACAGACAGTGCGAGGACACCATATAATCCCTGATTAATGTCGCTCAATGTCAATTGCTTTACTTTGTAGCTGCAAAGTCGATGTCATCTTTGCCAGAAACTGCAATCTGCAATCGCTTTTAGTGGGCACTGGCAGCTATCAATTGGAGACTTTGCATGGGAATCCCGAGCTGCCCAAACCAGATGTTTATCTGCCCCAATTGGGCAATCTATTGTCGTATATTTGAGCCATTTACGCATTGTCAATAAAGCGTATCGACGAGTGCTAATCAATATCGGATATGATAGCTTAATCTCCATCAGCAATTATCTTATCTGTGATACAAGCGCTATCCATTTATGCCATAGTCGAGTTGGCTTATAATTGAAATGCATATGACTTTGTTATTTACATAATGTTATTTGTTCCATTTAATCAAAATAAACGTATATTTGTATATTTATATAATAGTTGTTATTTGTTATGCTATAGTAATGTGCAATAGTAATAGTTTATGCTTCTGATTTTACGTATTAGTAACCAACTGTTATTTGCTTTAATACTCATTCATGATGCGTAGCTTCGAGTTGTCCGAGAGAACTAGAGACTGGAGAAACTTCAGAACTTGTAATAATTAATAATTAAGTAATAATTAATTAAGTGTAATAACGGGATATACTGTATCTTTCGGGTTTTGCATGAACACCATCTTACATTTTCCGTTGCATAAGTTTAACATTCACGAAATTTGAGTTACTATTGTCATTCTCTACAGATCTACAAAAATTAAGAATCCGTTCACTTTAGGTAAGTATCAACTCGGGAATTACTATATTAACATAAATTGTACTATATTACGAGCCTCATTTTGGAGATAGAGTCTTGAAATAGAGATACATACTATGTATGTAGCTACGCTTTTCTAGATGCGTGACAAAACGTAAAAAGCAGTTTACTCTACAGTTTTATGACTACAATCTCAAACAATCTGTTGATTGATCAAAGTGATATGGGTATTTCATTACATAGATATATCCCTCTATTTATATCCTTTATTATTTTACAGTTAGATGAGATGAAATATATTAAATCTTACTTAACCTTAGCTGCCTTTGCAATCTGAACGAGTATTATGCAGTCGGTTGAGCCCGACTAAGTTCTTGCTTTATTTTGTTTTCGATTCTAGTTTTTTTTTTTTTTTTTTTTTTTTTTTTTTTTTTTTTTTTTTTTTT